CCTTGTGCCACCCTACAGAACCCACAGCCCACCCACCCACCTGTGCTACCCCAGGGACCCCCTGGTCCCACCTCAGAGCTCCCCCAGAACACCCCATGGACCCTCTGGTGCCACCCCAGAGCCCCCCAGCTCCCCCACGGAGCCCCCACCTGTGAAGACGATGTTGGGGATGGGGCCGTGGCGGCTGCAGTTGCTCAGGTTTGGGCGGTTCAGGCTGGGGTTGGGGTCGTAGCCCCCCTCGCTCGGGGGGTAACTCAAGGCCCCCAAGTCCTCGGGGAACCCTCCGCTGTTCCCGGGGGGGCTCTCCCCGATCCCGAACTGCTCCAGCTGCGGGGAGGGGCACATGAGGAGAGACCCCTACAGAGGGTCCCCTGTCCCCATATCCCCACAGAGGGTCTCCACTCCCATGGCCCCATGCAGGGTCCCCTGACCCCATGTCCCACCTGCAAAGGACCCTCCTGAAAGGTCCCCATCTCCATGTCCTTCCCACAAGGGTCCCCAACCCCATGGCCCCATGCAGGGTCCCTATCCCCATATCCCCCCAGAGGGGTCCCTGTCCCCATGTCCCCCCAGAGGGGTCCCCATCTCCATCCCCATGTCCCCCCCGACGGGTCCCCGTGTCCCCCCGTGTCCCCCCCACTCACGCTGCCCAGGCCGAAGTCGCCGGGGGGCTGTGCCAGGGGCTGCCCCAGGGCGGTGCCGGGGGGGTAGGGGGGGTTGTAGGGGCGCGGAGGGGGCGCGGGGGCCCGCGGAGGGGGCTGGGAGCCCAGCAGCATTCCCGGCTGGCCGTAGGGGTACGGCGGCAGCCGCTGCTCCGCCGGCAGCTTGCTGGTGTCCAGGGGGACGCCCTGCAGAGACAGAGGGGAGGGGGAGATCAGTGCTGGACCCCCGAGAGTGGGGGGCTCCCCCAGCCCCCCCGGCACCGGCAGTGGGAGGGGTCCCTGAGACCCCCGGACTCACGGGGCCACGGTGGCACCCGGACCCAGGGCGGGCTGGGGTCCCCTCTGAGGGGAGGGGGGGGCCTGGGAGGGACACGGGGGTCCCCCCCCCCAAAAAACGGCCCTGAGCACGGGAGGGGGTGGGGGTGACAGGGGGCCCTGGGGTGTGGGTGAGATGAGGATGGAAACGAGACGAGAAGTGAAGGGGAGGAGGAGCGGAGAGGAGGTTGAGGACAAGCAGGACGAGGAGGAGGAGGAGGATGAAGACGAGGAAGAGGACAAAGAACAGATCCAAGACAAGGGCAAGGAGGACAAGGATGGGGAAGAGGAGAAAGAGAAGGAAGAAGAGGAGGAACACAAGAAGGATGAGAAGAAGGAGGACAGGGAAGAGAAGCAGGAGGAAGGGGAGAAAGAGGAGGAAGAAGGGGAAAGGAGGAAAAGGAGAAGGAAGAGAAAGGGGATAAGAAGGAGGAGGAGAAAGGAGGAAAAAGAAGAGGAAGAGGCCGAGGAGGAGGAGGAGGCGGCGGCGCTGGAGCGTGGGGACGATGCGTACCTGGGTGATGGAGGACAATGTGGGTGACATTGTTGGTGAGAACTGTTTGGGGTGCTGCCGTCTGCAGTCGCCGGCCACGGGCAGGGACAGGGGGCTGAGCGGGACCCGCCGGCGCGGCGAGGTGGCCGCGAAGGAGCCTCCCAGCCCCGAGGGCAGGCTGGGGTTGCTGGGCGAGGACTGGAGGGGCTGGCTCCGGGGGGACGTGGGCAGCGAGGGGTTGGAGAGCGAGGAGGACAGGGAGGAAGGCAGGGACTGGTTGGAGAGAGAGGAGGGGATGGAGGAGCTGCTGTGGGAGGATTGGAGCGAGGGGTTGCTGAGGGAGGCCTGGAGAGAGGGGCTGCGCAGGGAGGCCTGGAGGTTGGGATTGCTCAGGGAGGACTGCAAGGACGGGTTACTCAGGGAGCTCTGCAGAGGTGAGGGGAGTCCTGTGGGGACAAAAACAGAGAGCACCGTTACCCCAGCACGGCCCCGAGCCCCGGGACGGCCCGGGCGGGGCTCCCGGGGGATGGAGGGGGATGGAGGAGGAGCGACCAAAACGATGGAGACAGACACAGGGATGGACACACACCCCGGGCAGCAGGACAGCGGCGTGAGGGGGCACTGGGGTGGGAGACGGGCTCCTCCCAGACCCCTGTGAGACCCCTG